TTTGACTTCATTCGGCTTACCCGAAATTTTTTGGGGTGAAGCTATAGTTACAACAGCATATTTGATAAATAGATCACCCTCTATCCCCCTTAAAGGTGTATGTCCCGAAAGTAAATGGTTGGGTAGAAGAGTCGACATTTCTAATGTTCGTGTATTTGGGTGTTCTGCTTTGATACATGTTTGCACTTATGGTTTTGATTTAAAAACTGAAAATTGTGTTTTCTTAGGTTATGGTGTTATGGGGTATAGATTGTGGCTTTGTTCTAGACCCGGATTTAAAACTATTTTTAGTAATAATGTGACATTCAATGAATGTGAAATGCCATATTTGGAAGTTGAAAAATCTGAATCTGCTGTTTCTGATTTTAGTGAAACAAACACTGATTTTTATAATACTCAAAATAAGGTGGAGCATGATAAAGTTGAGATAGAAGAGGGAGAAAATGAACACTTTAATTCTGATTTTTGTTCTGTCAAGCAGCTTATTAGTATTGAATCTGAAAGTATACAATTTGATAATTCTGAAATTGTTGATATGGATTCTGAAAGTGATTCTGGTGTCTGTTCTGCTGCTAAAATTCAGTCTGCTTTTAAAGATAAAAAGACTGATTTTGAGGACAAAAATGATGTTGTATGCTGTGCTAAGCCTGCTGTAATTCATGAATTTAATTCTGATTTTGAAGAAGTGCAGTCTTGTGATGTAAATTCAGTTAATATTGATTGTGAATCAGAAAATGTGCATTTTGATGATTTAAATAATGTTGATACTGACTCTGAATGTGCGCTGAATGTGTAATTTGTTGCTGAAATGTATGCTGTAAGTGAAGAAGTATGTTCTTGTGATGATAAACCTCTTAATATTGATCTTGAATCTGAAATTCGTGTTCAATCTGCTGATATTATGCAAATTGATGTTGAATTTGATTATGAGGTTGAAAAGAATAACACTGATTTTCTTTGCAAGTTTTTCGAAAGACAAAATGTTGTTGCTGATTACAAATATGTGCAGTTTTGAAAGACATTTTAGTTAATGCTGATATGATATCTGATTATGTTTTGTGTGTGAAAACTGCTGCTGAGCAACACTTTAATTCTTTAAACGAAAATGTTGTTATTGATGATTTTGACAATTGTGGCCAATTTGTGGTGGAGTTAGATAAAAACAGTGAAACTGAAATCTTTGTTGATGATCTTCAAATTGGTGTTGCTGCTGGGCAGCATATTAAGGAAAATTTTGAAAATTCAGTTTCTGAAATTGAAAGCAATGTTGGAACTGATTTAAATGAGAAAGATGAGATTGGAAATTACCTATTTGTTAGAGATGGAGTTAGGAAGAGTCCTATATTGTTCTCTATGTTTGGTAATTTAAAGTTATCTTCTTTAGCTTGTTGTATGTTTGATGACTTACATGTGAATGAACCTATGATTGTTAGGGAGACAAGTAATTCTTGGTATAAGTGTCAATGTTTTGAAGCTTTAAAAGAATATATGAACTCATTACTTAAGAATGAAAATTTGAATGTAGTTCCTAAACATTATGATTGCTTTGGTGGTGATTTGTTATCATTGATTGTAAATGATATGTGCTCTAGAAAGCTTGCTGTTTTTCGTGTTTGTATATTGTGTGATGCATGTTCTTGTTGTAAGACACAATTACAATGTTTAGTAGCTTTGTTAATTGTTGAATTTGAGTATAATCCTATTGGTGAAGATAAAATGCTTTGGAAAGTTGATATGTTTGTATCTTGTGTGAAAATTGTATGCTTTGATACATTTGATTAGCCGGTGCTACTTGCGTGTAGCTGTAGGTTTTATTATGTATCATAGTAGGTTTTCATATTGTTTTAAACCTAACTTGATTTCAATTTTCTTTGTGCAGGAGAGTAATTCAACAATCGGCTAAAGTGAACTGTTTTTTAAAATGAACTAAAATATAAGGAAGCAATGAAAGTTCGGACCGTGATGACACCCGAGAAAACAATCTTCCACGTCCAAAATAAGGTGGAGATTTGTTATATATTTTGACCCGTGATTATTGAGGCCTAGAATGCACGCAACCGATCCGCCCAAATTGAAGCCCGGATCCGGCAACCCACTACCCGACCCAATCTCTGAGAGACCTGTTGGTTTATGGCTTTGAATCGGTCTGAACCGGGTCTGCTCTAATATATATATATATTGGAGCCTTGAACCGGTTCGATTGATAATTCATTCATTCAGAGAACAATACAGAACAGAACATTCTCGCAATTCTCTCAAGCCCTAGTTCCGACGCGTTCCGATCGACCTCTGCCTGCCTTCTCCGGTGAATCTGTCCGGCGATTTGGGAGTTTTTTCTTCTCCTTCGATGCGCGCCTTCCCCCTTGAAGTTTCTACGGTTTGGTTTTGCTCGATTTATGCCTTATTGTTGTTCGCGGTGTAACTTGTCTGCGATGTGGGTTTAGGCTTAATTTCGGCAATGTTTCCTTAGATTAGGTTTCGATTTAGCGTGTTTGTTGCGTTTCCGTGGCGTGTCATTTGTGATTGGGTCTTGGATGTGTGTTTGATGTCGGTTGGTTTGATATTAGGGTAAACTGAGTCCGAACTGTTGCTTCCGTAATAAATCAAAGTTTTCTTTAAGTTTTCTTCGATGTTGATTTAATTTCGAAAGAATATAGCCTATTGGATCTTGAATTAGTAATAACATGTGTCCCTACAAAATGCATAAAAAGCCAAGACGGACGGATATTAATTTTTTAAAAAATAATATTTATTTATCACAAAGAAATCGATTGTTAATAATAATTAATAAAATACATCGACAACCCTAAGATAATAATATTATAGTAAAATACGAGTAAAAATTAAAAAATATAACTCAAAATTACAAGTCATTTATCCTTGATAAAAAAAAACAAAAAAACAAAAATAAAAAAGAAAAAGTCAAACTATTATTATTCAAATATATTAAAAATATATATTAAATAAATCTCAAAAAATAAACACTAAAATAAATATATAGAAAAATAAAGAGAAATAATTAAAATTTTAATTGAAATTAATATGTAAATTCATACTATTTCTTAAAAGTCAATTTAAATGATCATAATTATATTTTCTCTATAAAAATACAATAATATTGATACAAAAGTATTTTAACATAATATATTTCAAAAAATTATGATTATTATGAACTAATAGATATAAAAAAATATTTAAATATTATTAATAATAATAAAAAATGTTAAATATATATGTTTGTCGTCAAAAAATTTTCTTAGAGTACTTCCTCTTGTTAAAGTTGTGATCGAATATCATCCTATTCAAGAAAATATCTTGCAAGACAAGAATGAAAATTGTAAAAAGCTAATAATAATAATAATAATAATAATTAAAACAAACCGAAAATTAAAATAATAGAAAGAAAATGAAAAAAATTGAGTACAAAATTAATTGTTTTTGGTCTGTTCATAATAACACAAAAATACAAGAAAAGAAGGAAAGATAAAACCCTTAATAAAAATGAAAGAAGTATAATAGTACTTTTACGTGTCAAAATTTTGGATTGGTAATATATATTGCTATTAATATATATATATATATATATATATATATATATAAAAGATAGGTAAATGTAATGGAGGAGAAAGAGATAGAATTACGATGAATGGAAATCCATAATTGAAGGATAATGCAACGGCCATCCATCCATCAATATCCATCAGCAGCTTAGTTTGTTTGTCATGCTCTCATTTCATTACCACCTTAATTAGCTAATCATTAGTTCGTTTTACATTTCTCATCTCATTCTTCTTCTTTTCTTCCCACTTTCTTTCTTTCTTTCTTTCTTCCACAAGCACCAAGCGGGGAAGAAAGAGGGTAAGGCAGGGCAACACAGATTTTGCATTTGCAAATATACATATATATATATATAGAGAGAGAGAGAGAGAGAGAGAGAGATTTCAGAGGTGACACGCAGGGAAGAATATTAATTTCAAACATCTATTCATTCAGAAGGAAGGCTTTAATTTGGAGGGGTTGAGTCCAGATAGAGAGAGATTCAATCCCATTATATATATATATATATATATATTATCCACATCCATCTTTGAGTTTATAGATGATGATTTATTGATTAATCTTACCATTTCGTCTTATCTCCACATTTTCCTCGTGGAGATTCGAAGATTTGATTAGGAGGGAAGAGGGCCGAATGATCGTCGGTATATTTCTTCTCATTGATCCTCTTTAGGTTTTCGGCTTCTTCTTCGTCCGCCACAAACATTGATATATATCGACTGATTCGGATTTTGTTAAGATATATTTGCACTTCTTATCATCCTTTTTCGTGCAGCAATCAGGTAATAAGGAGGGTATGTTTTTATCACCTTAATTAATTTCTATTCATCTTGTCGATTACGAGATAGTGTTTAGAGATTACATACAAACATACATTATACATACATAGATAATGATAAAGAGATGCATCATTAATTTTAATTTGTTTGCTTATTCTCCTACGCATGCGTGTATTTATTTCAAATATTCCTATTCAATTCACCTATTTGGTACAAATGAGCAATATATATATAACGATGCCGAAAATTCAAACATGCAACAAACAAGTGCATTATGTATTAGAATGCATACATACACGAGCACGTCCACCCTGATTAATATAATGTACGGGGCGGCGGTTATGGTGCTGAATCTTAAAATTCAGCATTATGCAAGCAATATTTGATTTCAGCACATCATATATTGTCATACAATACACTTGTAATTATGAACACAAATACAACACATGAACTAACAACACAAATACAAACCATGAACTAACAACACATGAATAATCTTATATAACACAAATAATCATTTATTTTTGCACACTACATACTATTACACATCACATTTATAATTATGAACCAACAGCGCATGTGTTGTGTATAATAAGAGTGTGTATTATTTATATATATATATATTAGGAATGCCGACTGAATTTTCCAAATCAGCACGCTAATTGTTCCCTAATACAGGGTTATAATAATAATAATAATATTAATTTGTGATTATTTATTGATTAATATAGGTTGTAGGATCACCTATATATCGATAGTTTGGTTGGTCGAAAATGGTGGCTATATCAGATAACCTGCATGGGTTTCTGTTGGCGATGTTTTCAAGTGTGTTCATTGGTTCCAGTTTCATCATTAAGAAAATTGGGCTCAAGCACGCCAGGGTTGGTGGCACCAGAGCAAGTCAGTCACTTACTCCAGTTTTGATTCATATAATTAACTAACTAACTAACGAATTATATATGATTGAATTTTTTTAATTATTACATTAGGCGAAGGAGGGTTCTCCTATTTGAGGGAGCCATGGTGGTGGGCTGGGATGATCACCAGTAAGTAATTAATAAAGTGATTAATGAATGAGTGAAGGAATAATATTAATCAATGAGTTACTTACTGCAGTGGCGGCGGGAGAGGCGGCGAACTTTGCCGCGTACGCATACGCTCCGGCCATTCTCGTAACTCCAATGGGAGCGCTGAGTATCATATTCAGCGCGGTGCTGGCACACTTTGTTCTGAACGAGAGTCTACACATGTTCGGGATCGTCGGGTGCGCCCAGTGCCTGGTGGGCTCCCTCACCATTCTCCTCAACGCCCCTAAAGAAGGCGATATAGAGTCCGTCAAGCAGGTCTGGCACTACGCCCTCGCACCCGGCTTTCTGATATACGCCTTCCTAGTCGCTGGCCTCGTCGTCCTTCTCATATGGGTATTCGTTCCGCGCTACGGCCAAACCCACATGCTCGTCTACATCGGGATCTGCTCTCTCCTCGGCTCCCTCACTGTTATGTGCGTCAAAGCGGTCGCCATTGCCGTCAAGCTTACCATGTCCGGATCCAATCAGTTCGTCTACTTTCAGACCTGGTTCTTCACTCTTTGCGTCATTTCCTTTTGCGTCTTGCAGATGATTTATTTGAATAAGGTGATGTGATTCATTTATCATCATTCATCCATTCCATTCCATTCTCATCCATCAATCATCGATTCTCGTCTTTCTCATCCATTTCAGGCACTGGATACCTTCAACGTTGCGGTTGTTTCCCCGGTGTATTACGTGATGTTCACCACTCTCACAATCATCGCCAGTATGATCATGTTCAAGGGAGATTCTCAATCCCCTAAAGAGATTTTCACCGAACTCTGCGGCTTTGTCACCATTGTAACCGGAACCTTCCTCCTTCACAAAACTAGGAACATGGGCTTGAGCAACAGCACCTCAACCTCCTCACAGCCTCATGAGCGTGACAGTGTGCCCAAAGTCTGAACAACAATTAATTGAATGAATGAATATGAACACAAACAACATACACACCTTTCCTAGCTATTAATTAATTAATTATTCTTGTAGCTTCCTCAATGGCTTAGATTTATTTCTGTTGTTGTTTGTATCGTTATTCAAAATGATCTGATCTCATCTGATTGTGCAGCATGTCTATTTTTTGAATTCCAAAAAAGGCAGGCAGGCAGGCATTGTGTTACTACTATTTATTTCACAAGTAGAGAGAATCTCATGAAATCCACAAATAGGAGAGCAATTGAGCTACCACACGCATAGTTTAAAACAGAGAATAATCAATCCAACACAAGGTGCAAAACGAATAAAATAGAACACCAAGGAATTGTAAAACATAATAAGGTGTCAATTCTTCGATAATCATGCGTCACCAAGATGCAGTGATTTACTTACGGCTGTGCTTTTCTTCGATGCCTGATTGTGAAAATCTGTGTCTGAGAATTTCAATAGCATCTTCAACCTTAACTCCTCTCCGAGCTAGTAAAACCATGGCATGATACAGCACATCGGCCATCTCCGAGGCAGTCCTTGACTGGTCTTCATTCTCCTCTAGTGTCCGGCACAGGTCATCTGCCTCTTCCCTATAGGGATACACCAAGTTTACAGCCAGTGAGTTATGAATATTTAGATGAAACACCTCATTATTCTTCTAAACATGCTTTACATCTATAATAACAAGCTTCAAATATGGCAATGCCAAAAGCTTAATTTGGAAAGGTAGCATGTATTTATCGAGTACGCCGAACCTAATTTTTGAGCACAGTAAATCGCCATCAAGCAATAAGCGTTTCGTCCAGGATGGCTTCGCATCTGTGCTTTCCATCAATTCTTCTTTGCGTTTCGAAATTGTAGATTCTAGTGAGTACAGAGTCGTCAATGCAAGTTTACTTTTACTGACCTAGCAATAATAAATAAAGACATTGTGTTTCACTTAGCACCCTCAGATACACTTTTCAAGGACAGGAAGCTTCACTTTTGAATGATGAGTTGATGAGAGAATTAAGGAACATATATGATACTTGTGGCTTGTTTAGGACATTGTTGACCGAGGTGTAGTAGCACGTCTGCTCTCCAGTGTGACAAGTCGGGCCATCTGGCTTCCCAAGATAAATGATCTGAAACATATACTCATTTATTATTCTACGTAAGTAGGAGAGAGTTACATCAACCTTTGATCTACGAAGGAAGGTTTACTACTTACAGAATCACGATCACAATCAAGAAAGATATCGCAGATATTGATGAAATTAGATGAGGTTTCTCCCTTGGTCCACAAAGTTGATCGTGACCTGCTATAGAATGTTGCCTTTCTCAAGGAAATGGTTCTCAAAAGAGCCTCTCTATTGACGAAACCTTGCATTAACACATCTCCCGTATCAACATTTTGAGCTATTGCCACCGCCAAGCCTTTGTCGTCCCATTTGATACTATCCAAGAGGGGATTAGCCTGTATTAATTGGTTATATGACAGGAACTCAATAAATCCACAAAATTTGCAACATGTTACTATGCCATTCATGTCCTCTAAGGGGGAGGGGATGCAAGAATCGTGCTCCATGCCATGAAATACATCATGCCAGAATAGTTTCCCTACTACCATAACATGAACGAGCAAAGAGTAATAACCATGAATTGACAAAACTATAATACAGGAACATTTTCAACAGAAGCCACATATGGTTTTTAAACTGAATTAATATTTTCACAGGTTTCTACATAAACAAAATTCCATGTTTGTTAAAGTTTATGGAATTATAATGATAACACTGAGTAGTTTGTAACCTTGAACAAAATGTGCACTTCTTAGAACGTGGTGCTTAGATGTAGCTAAGTAATCCTCAAGATTAGGGCTTTGTTCTACATAATTTTGAATTAACTTTTAGTTCTATTAATCAACAATAAACTTTTTTAAAAAAAAATGTCACATCAAATACCGATTTTTCATTTACCTTATTACATCAAAAATTTATTTTCTATATAAAACATCACATCCAACACTTACTTACGTTATATCAAAAACCTATTTTAAGTCTAAAATTTTAACATTCTCAAAACTCCAAAACAGTTCCAAAATATATCTAAACTATTGATTACTGAGGAGCCGAACACTTCATTTGCTATTGCAGACACTCAACAATCTCCCCAGACAAGCTGTAAACACCCGCTTTTTGTCTGGCATAAAATGTAAAATAACATGCCAATGACAGATTCCAAAAAACACCAAATCTCTAAAGTTTTTAATTCCACTCAAGTAATCATACTATAGTAAAGGAACTTTTCCAACATAAGCCATTTATGGTGTTTAAGTAAAGGGCGTGACTATTTTCACAGGCTTCAACACAAATGATATTGCTTGTCCGGATAATGTTTATGCAATCATAATTATAACACCAAGTGAGCTTGTAACCTTGAAGAAAAGGTGCATGGAATGGAACTTCTTAAAATGTGATACTTAGATGTAGCTCAAGTAATCATCAAGATTAGATTAGTGAGGAACTACAAGTATTAATTGTTATCCCAGACGCTCAACGGTCTCCGCAACCAGAACAGCGGTAGACACCTGCCTTGTCTGGTATAACATCTCGAATTAAGCACAACTAAGACGATGGACCAAAACAAAAAAAATAATAATAATAACTAGATAACAAAACACAACCTAATCCTTGAAGCTTTTATTTCTACTGAAGCAATCAAACCATTAAAAATATTCAACAATCCAGTTGAATAATTTAATTTCCAGATTGCTTTAGTGAAGCTGTTGATGCAATTTTTCAACAATAAAAAGTAAAATCCGAAAATAGGAAATTATCTTCGAATTTGATATATTTAGTGACTGAGATTAGGAATCTCTAAACACTGTACGGTACATACGTAAAATTGGAAAATAAATGCTACATACTGAAAATTAAATGATGATCCCCCAATCACTGACTTTGCTGTCGTTTGAAGATGATTGAAGATACTTTGCCAGTTGCTGACCCCAATCCTTAAATATTCCTCAGAAACAGTACCTGGAACCGTTGCCCGAACGGTTACAACGCCTCCTCTCAACCGTCTACTAATTCTTCTTTTGTTGATACGTGTTCTCAACCGACTTGCAGACCATCCGACTTGCGGACCATTTGACCTGCGGATCATCCGACCTGCGGACCATCCGACTTGCTTATTTCCTTAGAAGGACGTCCGGTTCAACCGATTATCTTGAAACACCGCTTAATTAATCTAGCAGACCCTATTACAGGCCCACATCTCCTTCTAGCTTGGGCCTTTTAACCTAATTATAAAATTCATACGTAACAACTTGCCCGCCGCCATCGGACTTTCAAACGCCACGCCTCAATCGCCGTTTGGAAGTTCGCAATCTATATAACCATACTCCATTTGTAGAACTACCTCCTCAACTGCACCCACTGCAGCGCAATTTTTTATCACCAAACTCTTCACCTTCGGTGCTGGCTTTGCTTTCTCTCAACCTCTGCAACTTCAAAATATGGCAAATCAATACATACCTGCACTTACTTTTGACGGATCTGTTCCAGAAACAACATTTGTTGCTACGAAAATGCTCACTCCTACTATTCGCCCATACTGCACCACTCCTGAAGATTCCAACCAGATGAGAGAGATCTTGGAAGCAGGAAACCCCCTCGCTGTCAATAATCCCAATTACAACGCTATCCGTCTCCATGACAGTATCAAAACACACTTGACAGATCCCAAAGACCCCTACCGCACCTGGTACAAAAGGGTAGCAGAACGTTTTCGATATCAATGGAAACACCAACAAATTGACCAGCCAATACTCCTATCGACTCTCTCATGTCATTTACATGAGAAAGTTTTTTTGGCGATGTCTGCGTTCTGGCACTCGGAGATGGGCATCTTCCTCCTTCCCACAGCCCCCATCGGCCCAACGCTCATGGATGTGGCCATGATCGCCCATCTTCCAATTGTAGGTGAAGACCCTGTGATAGGAGCCCTAGATGGACAAAAGCCCAGTGCAGACCATTTGGGCTGGTCTCTGGCGGGCGTAAAGGAATGGGGCTGGACCAAATTTTTAAACGACCAGCAAAGAGCAGTCGGAACCCCTGTGACCGACCGTGAGCATGTCGCCTTCCTTCTCTTTTGGCTCTGTAGGTATGTCATAATTTCCCCTTCGAAATGCGTCATTCCTTCTAATCTTGACTTGGCCATCCATATAGCCTTAGGTCATTTCTTCTCTCTTGGTACTCTCTTCCTTGCCAATCTTTTTGAAGGGCTATCCAGGGTTAGCACCCACCTTACAGATAAATGATGGCAAAAAATTAGATACCGCCGCGTCGGGCCCGTTTTAGTTCTTGAAATTGTGGTTCCGTCTCTATTTCCCCGAAGCGTTTCAACTTGGCCATCCCCCTGTTGCTCCAACACCTGACAAATCTTTAGGAATAGCCCTTAACCGACTTTGTTTAGGTCGCAATAACCTTCAAGCATCCGACCCTATCATAACTGCCATTCTAGCCGATGACCGTAGTAACTCCCGATTTTACATGTACAAAAAGTATGTCGGTTACGCGTCTAACCTGTTTTGGCCATTCCCTGTATCTTCACCTTTATCCGAACCGGACCCGCTTCCTCATCCTACTTACTCCTTCGCCTGGGATGTTGCTCTTAAACCCAGATCCTCATTTATTAGTAAGAAAATTGATAAGAAATGCCACAAAGCGTTTTATACCTTCAACTATCAGCCTCAGTTTTTGGCACGCCAGTTCGGCTGCCAACAAGGTTTACCTAGCCCTACCGCCTGTCCACATCTAATAATTCAAAGCCCGGACGGGAGAGTTATCCCTGAATTGATTTCTCCTTACGTATCCCAATTAACCAATTACATAACTTCCAACTCAGGTCCGACCCCAGCAAGAGCGACCATCCAGACTACTTCAAACCCAGCCGAATCACCAAAGTCGTCAGCTGACCAACTTCAAGTACCTGAACGCCCGACCAAACGACAGACTTCAATGTAAGCGCCTTCACCAGCCAAGCTGGCAACAACAAGGGCTTCATCCGATAGTGAGGCGACTGCCTCACAGATGGGTAGATTGCCTTATGTTGCCTCAGACCCATCTCTCCCTAACGCGGAACCAATGGCCACGCCTGTATCCGCCTCTACTGCGATCGCTTCTGGTGCGGCCGCCTCTGTTGCAGTCTCTCTCGAGGCGCCCGCTCCAATTAATAGGGACGTCTCTAATGCGGCCGTCCGAATTGCTCCCAACGAACCGACCACAACCGCCCTGGGCGCAGCCGACCTGAGGGCAGCAGACCCTCTTCCAGAAGCGGCCGGACGGGAAGAAGAACCCGCAGCTGTCCGACCGAGGGGTCTTTTACAAGAATTACAAGAAATCCCCTCCTCTGATTGAGAGACCTCTGTCAACTTGGTAGACGCTTTAAACTCCCTTTTCCAAACTAAGAGCTAGTGTTCACATAATATTAAATACACTATATCTCCGTCTGCAGGGACCCAGATCAATACCGCAGCGTCCATTTGAAGCAGCCGACGAATCGACCATTCCAATACCAGTCACCCTTTCTTCCAGACCCATAACAATCTTGGCACCTTCTGCGACCACGTTCCGCCCAGAAGTAAGTAAAGTTTTCACAACTAATTCTTGATATTTGTGCTTCATGTAATCTGACATAAAAATCCATTCTCTCAGGGATGTCTTGATCTAACCCCTCTGTCAGCTTATCCAATTCCAACAGACGTCCGAACCATAATTGCTCAAGCTGTCGACCAACCTTTCCCCGACCTGGGGTTAGACTTGTTGGACGGGCTTCTTTAAGCCATTGGTGTTAGACTTGTTGGACGGGCTTCTTTAAGCCATTGGTGGCCTTCTATTTCAAATTCTTTCAAAATCAGCAGCCGCCCCCATTCTTCATCGGCTGATGGAGCGACTATCCGAACTCCGAAACGACATCTTATTCGCTCAACTTCTGTCAGCTGAAACGCCCCTACCCAATTCGGACCAAATAAGTCTGGAAGTTTCCTTGACTAAAACCAGGGAATCAATTCAACAAGCAACTAGAAGACTAGACGGCCTCACTAATGCCAAAACACAAATAGATGAATCAATTCAAAAGAAGGAGGTAGAATTGAGAGCACTTCATCAAGAAATATGTTCTGGAAGGCCACATAAGCGACGAACAGCGCCTGATTGAGCGGTACAAGAAAAATGAAGCCGACTTGGACCAAGAACTAAAGATTCATGGCCGGTCTTAACTTATAAGACAGTACCAGACGGCCACTAACACCAGACGACTTTCCAGGACAGAAGATAAATGGTCCCAGATTAGAACCGCTTTAGGGTCTTTTCTGTAAAATTTTGGAAACCTTGACTTAGTAAATAAATTTTTTCTCCTATTGTTAAGGATCACTTTCCAAAACTCCAACCCTCCAAGGAACAGATCAAACCC